TTGTATTACTGACAAAATACCTGAGATAATCAAATTAAAAGGAAGGTTTAACTCTCACAGCTTGAAGGTTTGGGTCATTGTGACTTGACCTCACTGTCTCGAGGCCTGTGCGAGGTGGGGCATCACACGGGGCAGCGCACGGTGGAGCAAATCTGTTCACCCCATGGCAGCTGGAAGGAGAGAGCAAGAGCTTCAGTGTCTCCTTTAGAGCACAACCCCTGAATGATGTAAATTTACTCACCCAGGTCCACTTCCAAATAATAAAATCCCCTTCCAACGGCGTCACAGTGCGGCGACCCGGGCTTTAACACACAGTGTTACAGTGAACACTGGAGACTCAAGTAGCAGCACACATGGCATCTCACCCTGATCATCTCAGTGTCCATTTCTAAAGCACAATAGGAAATTCCCATGCGTATCACAATAACATCTGCACACCTTACGAAGGGCAATTGCTAGCGTTCACCAGTAAGTAGTATTTCATGTTCACATTTCCCTTCCTGCTCACGTATAGGCTCCATAGTCACTGCTGTTTCTGTTGTGGTTGTCTTTCCAGTGCAGTTTGCATCTAGTTACACATTAAACACGTCTCACTCTGTATATTAACAAGCTGTCCTAAGAACTAATCTTAAAAATTCTTTTTTAAAACTTTTTTATTTAAAGAAAAATAAAAAATAGAAAAAAGGTAGAATAATACAGAATTTTAAAAATTAACACTAATAAATCGCTAGTTAATACATTACATATTATCTTAGAAATAGTCATTAAAGTTACAAAATTAAAGCAAAAAAGTGGCTAGATACTCAAAAATTGACAGTGCACACCCTTCTGTTCAATGATCTAACAGAAATTTAGTAATACGGTCATCTATCTTACACATTTATACATGGTTATATCCTTTAGAGCACTTTCCTTCCCTTTCAGTTTTACAATATCTATTATACATTTTGGATCTTATTAGTCTTTCAGTTTGTATTATATTTTACACTAGAGAGACATAATGTGAGTCTGATTTATTTCACTTATGAGGATAGTCTCAAGTTGCCTGCCTTCCTTAAACATTCATGAAAGCAGCTTTATTGGATTCCAAAAATTGAATAAAGATAGAAATTTTTGGGTTTCTCCTGTATGACATTAATTGTTACTCATTCTTTTTCATGACTCATACGCTTACAATTATTTTAAAGGTAAACGCACTGTCATTTAAAGAAAAATCCTCACCCAAAAGAGGATGATTTTTCCCTCCACTCATGTTTTCACTCCAAAGAACAAACAAACAACAGCTCTAAGTGTGTGTGTGTGTGTGTGTGTGTGTGTGTGTGTGTGTGTGTGTAATTTCTGACCAGCCTAGATCCTGGATCACTTTCAACTTCCTGCTAGAGAAAGTTTATAGTTTAGGTTTAAAAGGGCTTTCAGAATTTCATGCGTCTGTGACTTGTGGTGAATGGTGGCATTGTACTCACTAGTGAGTTGATTCATAGCTGGGTGTGTTGTAGGAGTGGTGAGGCACTGTGAAGTTCACCTAGCAGTGTGTGTGTCACTGTGCCCTGCTTCCCTCTCACTCATCTTCTTGGCTACGAAGAGGTTTGCCATATTCTCCTGCCATGTTTTTCTGCCAGGGCATTCCTGTCTTGGGGCCAACCCAACAGGGACTGAATCTTCTGAAATGTGAGCCAAAATAAACTTCTCTTTCTTTCAGGTGTGGTTTTGGATATTCTGTCCTAGTGACAGAAAACTGGACTGATGGCAGACAATTCTTAACTGAATTGGGGCCATTGTTGAGACTGTACCTGTCCAGGTGACTCAAAAGCCTTGGAGCTGGCCTGAGGGACAAGTTTGAAAAGGTATAGAAATGCCAGCTGGAGAGGCCCAAGGATGTCATTAGCACAGCTTGAAGGGTAATTCTGATCAGACCTCGGAAAACCACGATGCTGTAAGATTGGTAATACGAAAGACCAGGCTCGTGAGGGTTCAGATGGGAATGAGAACTTCATTGGAAACTCAGCTACGTTCCATATACGCTGCAATCTAGAAAAGAATTTGTGTCTTGCCAATGTCCTCAGACTTTGTGTGAAGATGAATTTAGAGGCAAAAGATGAAATGATCTGATGATTTCAAAGCATCTCAGTATTCAAGCTGTGACAATGCTGGCTGCATTCTTCCAGATCCACAGGGAAAATCAGGAAGACAAGTGATTTGAAAATTTTGAAACCTCACTGAAAAGGAAGTGCCTGTAAAGATGAGGCAAAGGACACCATGATTATGAAAAGTTAATATTGAAAAGAAGAAAAATACCTTCCATCAGCACTATAGAAAAGATGGTGGACAGTCTCTTAGGAAGTGGCCAGACTGCCCTTCATAGGTTCATGGGTATAATAAGATTTAAAAAAAAAAATCTTTGACTTGAGAAGATAACTCCAGGTGCTCTGCTCATTTGGAGTTGCCCTGTTTACCCTTGAGTTCAGTTCTGTGACAGCTGTGACCTTGGACTAAGGACCAAGGCTATTGCTTACATTAGCAGCAACCTGTGTGCCATCCTCATGACTTTTTACGAATACAGAATGAAACAGTTGCCAGGTCCTGGTGGCTTCTCCCTGGATTTCAAAGGAAAGTCTGCAAAGCTAGACAATCTGCCCGTGACAGAGCAGTGCATGAAATGGGAGAGTGAAGACTCAGGTGTCCTGAAGATCCCAGGTCTGCAGACATGCCAACAACATGAGATGGAGGCAGAGGTAACTTGCAGGCAGAGAGCAGCTGTATGGGCTGTAACCAGCAATGCTGTGTGTGAAGGGCCACCCACGTGCTTCAGAACTCAAGTGCTACCACAATCTGCCCAAGGAACTGAACCAGGAGCCCCGGGGCTTTCTGTTTGGGCTTCTGCCTTTCAGGCTTGCTTTAGCTCCTCTCTTTTCTATCACACTCTTTCTCCTTTTGGAAAAGGCAGGGTTTGCCTTGTACCATTATATGTTGGAATTATTTGCCTTTCATTTTTGATTTTTATAGGGGCTCATAACTAACTTTCCTTGAGTCTCAAGGAAACATCATTCTAGGACTTTTCAACCATGCTGGAACTATTAAGATGGTATGACCCTTAGACCTGAACTAGATGAATTCTGGGTAATGGATTGGGCAGGTTTGGAATGGTATGGTTTGTGAATGAAATGTTTCCTAAACGACTCTTGTGTTTGGAAGGTGATGGGATTGTGAGGGTGCCTAGCTCATGAGTGGATTCACCCAGGGCTGAGTTCAGTGAGTGATCACACACTTAGGGAGCAGAGCCTCCTTGGATTTCAGTAAGTGGGGGCTGGACTGGAAAGGTACGGGCTTTTTCCAGACTCCACCCCTCCAATTGTGTTTCCTGGATTCCATGAGGTGAGCATCTTTCCTCTACCAAGCTCTTCTTTTGTGTCTTTGTTACTTCAGCACAGCAAACCAAGGACTGAATTTTCTAAATCACGAGCCAGAATAAACCTGTCCTTCTTCAAGTTGCAAATGCTAGTTGTTTTGTCACACAGTGGAAAGCTGACTACTACAGAAATGCTTCCCCAAGAAAAGAGAAGTTTCTCACTCAGAGAGATCCATCCACCTGGAGAACAAGAATAAAGGCGATGGTCACGGTGATGCTGTACTAAAATTCTTTTCTACTCTACAGTCAAAGGTAGTTACTTCTGGGTGCCAGAAAATAAACCACCTATTTTGAAGGAATAGTACTTTAATTACCAAAAGTACATGAATAAAGACAGACTCTGACTGGCTGGAATGGAAGCAGTGGAGTATCAGGGTGAGATCTGGTCCGCAGCTCAAATCTCATTAGTTAGGCCCTCATGAGTTTTTGGTGCATTAGATTAAAGTTATTAGATAATATTATATTATACTGGCATACATCTTTGGGTAACTTAATTTGAACTTGTGATCAGATCCTCTTGTCAGATGTATCTATCTAGATTAAAATATTTTTACTGTTACAAGGTTTCATTTTTTTCTCTTTGAGGTTTTAAGAAAACCATGACATTATTTGGGATCACACTTCCCTTTACACAGAAGCAGCTTATCTGCTAATAAGCAGATCCCATTAACTGAAGAGTTCATGTAAGAAACAGCTATACAGAAGGGACACAGATCATGTGTTATCTAAGAATGACCTCGGAAGGAAGGTAAAGGCTTTTTAAAAATATGTGGCTTCTTGCTGGGTGTAGTGGCACATGGCTGTAATCCCAGCACCCAGAGGCTGAGGCAGGAGGATCATTGTGAGTTGGAGAACTGTGTGGGCTACAAACTGAGTTTGAGACCAGCCTGAAATGCATAGCGAGACCCTGTCTCAAAAAAAAAATTTTTTTTTTGGCTTCTTTTTGCTGCCAAAGGCCTTTTATATTTTGGCCTTGGCTCTCATTTCCCTGGATTCCACACTTTATTGGTGTCACTGGTGCCTTCCTTAAAGGCATGTTTTCCACTTAGTTAGCTTGTATCACACTATTTCTACATGAAGAAAACTTGATGCCGCTCAGCTTTGGCATTCAATTGTAATCACTGGTGATTTAAGATCTCCTTTCAATGGCAAGTGTGTAACTGAATAAGCAAAGTCTGTACCCATTGTGACCTTCCATCCAGAGAGAGAGCAATAACTCAACCTGTGTGTGAACAGAGTGTCGGTCAGAAACACCAGAGAGAAACGAGCAGCTCTGCAGCAGGGAGGACACAGTCTGCCTCCTCTGGCTCTGTGAAGCAGGGGCCTTGGGGCTGGTTCAGCAGAGGAGGCAGGGTGTTCGGGGTGGGTTAATGTGAACGGGGGGCAGCACGATAGCAGAGCACATAGCAGGAAAGCACTGAGGCAAAGTTGGAGGGGCCAGAGGGGCCAGAAGCCCCTGGAAAGCACTTAAAAGCCTAGTGACAGTGCTCCTGGTTCTCCAGTGCAGAACTCAGAGGCAGTCTGCAAAGATTTCAGACGTGAGTTTGTGTGAATGAAACCTCTAGAACCCCACAGTGACAAAAGACGTGATCCCTTATTTCAACAAAATGGTTTAATCTGACAGATCCTTGTTCAGGGGAAGTTCCTGGCTCCACATTTGTCCAGGCAGCCTCTCAGCTTCTGTGCTCTCATTTACAGCATTTGGTGAAGGGGAAACCACAGGTGCCGATGTTTTTCTGATGGGTACCACATTTCAACGTGCACGCACCTCCACTTTTGTAGCAACTGACAGGATTGTTTACAGCATTAGAAAAACCTAAAGTAAATAAATAGATAAAGGTTATACCGAAATGCCACATCAGGAGGGACATGAACACACATGCTCTGACTATCTGGACACCCTCGTGGGTTTCACTGTGAAGGCTGAGATTATTTCACCTGCACAGAGCAACAGGACCAAGGACAGCTTGCATCCAGCTCTCAACAAAGCCCGGCATTGCTGCCTTTGCAGGGGACGTGCATTTCCCCAGAACCAGAATGATGAAGGCCCTGCTCTGTGGCTCCACATGCATCGGACAGGAGCTGTGCAGGGTGGCCTGGCCAAAAGAAGGTCAGCTCTCAGGACCCCACTTGTGTCTGCACACAGCCAACAGTCTCAGCATTGGAGCAGCCTACAGTGATCTGTTACAAGGTCTGTCGTGCAGCGTTTAGTTCACCATTTACACTGAGATGGGAGAAAAGCATACTGCTGCCAAGTACTAGAATTGTTGAATGAGCTCTTGATGCCTAAAGTAACTCAGGTTGAAAACAAAAATTAATAGGTTACCTAAACTTCCAAAGTATTCTTTCTGGTTTCTAATTTCTGGTCATAACCTCATCCATCCATCCTTCCTTCCTTCCCTCCTTCCTTTCTTCCTGTCTTCCTTCTTTCCTTCCCTCCTTCTTCCTCCTCCTCCTCTCCATCTCTTCCTGCTATTGCTCTAAATATCAGCACATACAAAGGTCCATTGTATATATCAAAACCTGTTTGTTCTCTAGTAATATTATAGATATCTCATATAAGAGAAACCAAGAAATACATGAGCATGCATTTCTGATTTATTGCATTTAACAGTGTGGTCTTAAGGTGCATCCATTTCCCTTCAAACGATTCAAGTTTATTTTTCTTTGTGGCAGAAGAGTACTCCACAGAGTGTAAATCTCATTTTTCCTTTATCCATTCATCCGTTGATGGACATACAGCCAACTTCCAAGATTTAGCTCTGAGAACTGTGCTGTTAAAATATTGGTATGTGTGTATCACAACAGGGCAATGTCTTTAATGCTTTTGGAAAGATACCTAGAAGGGGAATAGCTGAGTGAAATGGAATTTCTAGTTTTAGGTTTTTGAAAAATCTTCTACATTACTTTCTACATTGGTACTGCATGCACTACTTTACAATCCCACTATCAGTGTAGAAGGGCTCCTTTTTCCCAGTAGCCTCTCCAGAATGTGTGTGTTATTGTTGATAAAAAAATAGATGATTAGAAGCAGAAAGATCCATATTTCTCCTTTGTGAAAGGAGATGGAGGTAGAAGTTAAAGGGACTGAAAAAAAATAAACCACGATGTATTATGTACAAGGAATGTGAACATTATGTACTGCAAACACTTACCACAAAAAGAAAATGAAATCAAGACATGGCAGATGAAGAGCTGAGGGGAGGGAGCGTACAGAAAGGAACTAAGATGTATTACGTACATGTGCCAACTTCCCACAAGCAGTGTAAGCACCATGTACTAGAAATGTGCGCTAATAAATTTTTTAAAAGCCTCCTTGTTCTTATGAACAAAGCTGAGAAAGCCCAATTTTCCAATATAATTTCTGATTTATTATGTCAAGTCCTAGCCCTACACTTCCTCCTCTTCTCTGTATGCCTCTCTCTAAAGTTTTTCTCTTTTCTTTGTGTTGGTTTCAGGAATCTAAACTTAGGGCCTACCACTTGCCAGGCAGGCACTGTGCTGCTGAGCTATGTCCCCAGCCCTTTGTGCCTCCCTGAAAACCACACTGCTCTTTCCTTTTACTCATCCCTCGGAATGCTGTTGTCATGATGTGAAGGATGAGGTGAAGCTAGGGCATGAGGTGTTGAGAGCCGACCCTGTACGGGGAGGACGGAGCGGCCCTGCAGGGACAGTGTCCTAAACAAACACCTGGGAGCAGCCAGCTCCCCAGGTGCAGGCTGCTCTGGATCTTTCTATGGGGATCTCTGAGCTTCCAGAAGACTCTGGCTTTTGATTCCTACAAGATAATGCTCTGCAATTCTTTATATAATAGTAAACATTTCATGTAAGAAAAAGTCTGAAAAGAAAGAAACTAAGTCACCACAGATTTCACCCAAAATGTGCAGCTTTCGCATGTGGAAAAGTGAGGCCACAGAACTAAAAGCTGCAGGTGGGCCGAGAAGGAAGTGTGAATCCCCAGTGAGAATTTTTTCTAAATGAAAAAAATCCCGAAGTCTTACAGCAAAATAATAAGAAATTGACAGTAGTTCATACACTGTGTATCATTATCTTCAAGCTATTAGCTATTCAGAGTCCAATATACAGACAAGAGTCTCTCTTTCAAAGAAGAAATAGATAATAGACCAAAATTTTCTTTTCAATGGACTATGAAAAGGCAGAAATATAAATAAAACAAATTAGCATAAATATTAAAATATCCTTCTTCTGGGTATCATTCCCAAAGAGTTAATACCATCATATTCCAGGATATATGCATAGCCAGGTTTACAGCAGCACGATTTATGTCGGTTAGATCATGGTAGCAGTGGATTTGTCCACCAGCGGAAGAATGGGTAAGAAAATGTGGTATTCACACACAGTGAGGAGCCACTCTACCACAAAGAAACACAACTTCCTTAAACAACTTTCAAGGTTTTGGAAATGGTGCTCAGATCTGTCATGCAATCCATACAAACTGATCTAAAATGGGTTGAAGGAATGGGGAGGGAGAGAAGAGAAGCATGGAGAGAAAGGAGAGAGAGAAAGAGGACAGGATGACAGAATTCCAAAAAGTGACAAACTGAAGCAACAAAGAAAGAGATAACAAAATGCAAAAGAGAATGACACTGAGACACAGGACAGAGACAAAACAGAAGAGAGAGGTGGGGGAGGCAGAGACAGAGACAGAGACAGAGACAGAGACAGAGACAGAGACAGAGATCTGATTTGGCTCCATCATCTGTTTTGAACTGTTTGTTCCCTGCTTTCTTACCTGCCAGCGTCAGTAAGAATATGAGGAGGATGGAGAAGAGGAAATGAAGGATCCTCATGGCTGACGCCTGGTGGACTTCTGAAGCAGAGACTGGAGAAGAAGTGAAGTGCACTGCCATATAAAGGGCCAAGAGGCTGGAGCAGAGTTCTGTAGCACTGAGCCTTCTCGCAGGGTGTGTCTGGTGGGGAAATCCCACAGAGAACCCGCAGCAGCCAGTCACCAATATGCAAATTCTTCTCAGCCTGAAGAGGAGTTACTTCCTTCCCTGCTACTTCAGGATGTAGAGAGGATACAGTGATGGGGAGCTTGTTCATGAGGATACAGACTTAGGCTGCGGCAGTTGAGCTCACTTGTTGCTCTGAGGAGCTCCAGTTTGCTGCTGTTAAGGGGAGTCTGGAGACAATTTCAAACTAATGCTTCCATCTCCCATCTCCGTGTATTTAAAGCCTGGGATTAAACTGGGCAGCCTGATGCTCTGAATCCCAAAATGTGCTTGGTCTTGGCTATGGGGACTACACAAAGAGGTATGGGGCTCATCTCCCCAGTTTATCACAAGGTGGTAAAATTCATAGAACAAGTTCCAGAAACCTCACTGTCCACCCAAAGAGCCAGGCACAGAGTCAGGCAGGTACGCCCTTTCCTTCCTCAAACACACTAGAAAGAAACTGCTGAGCTGGGCAGGTCTCTGGGTCCACCTAGGACAATGTGAGTGAGTGATTCATCCAGTAGATCTGGCCATGATGAGCCCAGGAATCTTCCAAACTTCCTTGTTCAAGTTGCTGAGATATCAATTGATGAAAATCCTGGATATCCTTTGAATACTGGTGCCCAACTCTAACCGGGTTTCCCAGCACCTACCCACAAAATGGGTGCTTTTGTTGGTACCATTTCTGGAGGTGTCCTGCAGCTCAGGACAGGAGGCTTTCCCCCATTTCTCAGTGGCTTTCCTCTGTTCCTTTGTAACAGGGGAAGCCATTGCTAGGATGGCAGTGGACAGAGCTGGTGCAGGAGTGAAGAGGTGATGCGTTTCTGGGAGAAGCTAAAAATATGTGACCCTCTTTCCCACGAATCACATTCAGAGAGGGAAGCTCATAGATAGAAATCTATAACACATAATCATGGTCCTAACGAGAAATGATTATGTGTTATAGATTACTGTTGACTGTAGTACCATTAATGACTGTTGATTACTAAAGTAATCCTGGTGTGCACTTCACTGCTGGGGCTTCATTCTTGCTTATTTCTTACCTGTTTGGCAATGTCTCGTGTCCCCTTCTGATGCCCTCTCAGCAGTCACAGATGCTCCCTGGATAGGCTGGTGCCATGCTGTCACTGGGGCTGGTAGTGACACTGTGACTCAAAGAGGAAGTTTCTAATTGAGCGGGAAATAGAAGGAATCAGGATGATCTCAGAAGTGAGGGAACAAATCCCATGATTTGAGAGCTACAGTCACCAGGGCACCTCACCTTCCTTGAGACTGTTTGCCAGTTCTTGAGGAGGCCTGAGTTGGCAATGATACCCACTCATTCTTGACTCTAAGAGCATTCATTCCAGGCTGAGGAACTATAAAGAAAAACTTACTGTGAAAAAAAATTCTGATATGCTTTGCTATTTTGAAGTAAGCAAACACATGTGTTACTGTGTTTTCTATCACTATAATGAAATGCTGGAGAGAATCAAGTCACATGATGGAAAGGTTTATTAGCTCATGGTTTCAGAGTATTCAGTCCATTTTTCATTGACCTCAGTGCTTTTAAGTAAGACGGGAGACAGAAAATCATGTTGGGGAGCATATGGTGGACAAGAGCAGCTCATCTCATAGCAGCTACAAGAAAATACACAGGAAGGAGACAGGGAGTGGAATGTCCCCTCCACAGCTCATGCCTAATGGAAGAACTTCCCCAACTAGGCTTCATTCTAGACAGTTCCATTGTGGCTCAAAAACAATCAATTCTTTAACACATGGCATTCGGTGGACTCTAGCAGTCAAACCACAGTATACCATGACCCCTCACTCTAATTATCACAGCGAGCTTTTCTTAAGAATAAAGGGAAATTGCTATAAAAAGGAGAGTACAATTTGTAGAGGTAAAAAGAACGATTTATAGGATAACTTAGTGTGTGCTCAATATTTACATTTCTCCTCTGTCCATGCAGAGACTTTGTAATTGTTTTCCCCATGCCCACAGGTCCATTTTAAATCTGAAGTTACACATTGAGTCGGACTGTTCGGTCTTTAATTATTACAGCAACCCATCTTAATGAACAATCTTTGGGCCCTGCTTGGGAAGGGCTTTATTGGATTTATTTTCTTTATTTTTAATTTTTATTTAGAGGAAAAAAAGCAAAAGAGAAAAAAGGGTAGAAATGGTACAGAATTTTTAAAAAACCAGTATGAAATTACTAGTTGATAAATTACATATTGTTATCTTAGTAGTTGCTCAAGTCATAAAATCAAAGCATAAAAAGTAGTCAAACAATGACACTACAAACCATTCTGCTTGATGAACTAACAAAAACTTAGTAGTATGGTCATCTTTCTTGCACACCTAACTGCATATATAGTTATATCCTTTAGAGCACTTTCTTTCCCTTTCACTATCACAATATCTATTATAAATTTTGTATCTTATTACTCTTTCAGTTTACATTATTATTTTTATACTAGAGAGACAATATAATATTTAAAAATGTGAGTCTAATTTATTTCACTTATGAGGATAGTCTCAAGTTGTCTTCATTTTACCTACAAAAGCCTCAAGACCATCCTTTTTATAGCTGAGTAACATTCCATCATATAAAAATACCACATCTTTTTCATCCATTCTGCAGTTGCTGGGCACTTTGGTTGTTTCCAAGATTTAGCTATTACAAATTGTGCTGCTATAAACATGGGTGCACAAATATTGCTGAGACATGACATTTTCAATTTTTCTGGGAAAATACCCAGGAGGGGAATAGCTGGATTTAATAGAACTTCCAATCCTAGTTTTTTGAAGATTTCCACAGTGACTGCACCAGTCTATACTTGCACCAACACCAAAGAAGTGTTCCTTTTTCCCCACAGCCTGATCAACATTTGTTATCAGTTGATTTCTTGATGGCAGCCATTCTTTCTGGAGTGAGATGAAATCTCCGTGCCATTTTAATTTGTATTTCTTGAATGACCAGTGATGGTGAACATTTCTTCATGTATTTATTTTTCAGTTGTATATCTTCATCTGAGAAATGTGTATTCATTTCAGATGCCCATTTTTGGAGAGAGTCTTTGAAGTTGGGGGGCTTGAAGTTTTCTAGTTCTTTGTGTGTTCTGGATATAAGTCCTTTGTGTGAGGCTCTACTGGCTAAAATACTTTCCCATCCTGTGGATTTTCATTTCACTTTGTTGGTGATTTCTTTTGAAATGCAAGAACTTTTTAATAAGATGTGATCCCAGTTGTTTATTCTTTGAAGTACTCCCCATGTGGTTTGTTTTGTTCATGAATTTTTTGCCTATCCCATGTCTCCAAGATTTCTACATACCTTGTCTTCCAGTAGATTTAGTGTTTCTGTTTTAATATTTAGATCTTTGATCCATTTTGACTTTAGTTTAGTGCATTAGTTTAGTTTAGGCATGATTCTAGTTTCAGTCTTCGGGCATGTGGAGACCCAATTTTTCCGACACCATTTATTAAAGAGGCTTTCCTTCTACCAGTGAACACATTTAGCCCCTTTGTTAAATATCAGGCTGAGTGTCTTTGTAGTTGTGCTTGCATCTTCTAATCTGTTCCACTGATCCTGAGCTCTGTTTCTTTGCCAGTACCATGGGGATTTTATCACTGTAACTTTGCAGTATAATTTCAAGTCAGAAATTAAAATGACTCCTTGCCTTTGTTTCTCAGAATTCCTTTTGCTAATCTAGGTTTCTTCTGTTTCCAAATGAATTTTTTATCCCCATCTGTAAGATACGTTAATGGTATTTTTGATTGGGATTGCATTGAATCTACCTAACAGTTTTGGGAGTATGGCCATTTCCACAATGTTGGTTCTTCCTAACCAAGAGCAAGGAATATCCCTCCATTTGCTAACATCATCTTCAATCTCCTGTTTTAGAGTAGTGTAATTTTCAGCATATAGGTTTTTACATTCTTTGTTAGGTTGATTCCTAAGTATTTCACTTTTTAGATGCTATTGTGAAAGGTGATATTTCCATAATTTCTCTCTTGGTGAGTTTTTTATTTGTGTACAGGAATGCTATTAATGTTTGAGCACTGACTTTGTATCCAGCTACACTGCTGAATTTGTTTATTACCTCTAGTAGTCTTTTAATAGAGTTTTTGGGATAGTCTATATAGAGTATCATGTCATCTACAAATAGTGATAATTTAATTTCTTTCTTTCCTATCTTTATTTCTTTTATTTCCCTCTCTTGTCTGATTGCTCTGGCTAACATTTTCAGAACTATATTGAATAGGAATGGTGATAGTGGACATCCTTGTCTTATTCCTGATTTTAGAGTGAAAACTTTCAATTTTGTCCATTTAGTATAATGTTGGCTGTTGGTTTGTCTTAGATAGCCTTTATGATAATGAGGTAGATACCATCTATTCCAGGTTTCTGTAAGGTTTTTTATTATGAACAAGTATTGAATTTCATCAAAAGCTTTTTCTGTGTCTATTGAGATGATCATGTGTTTTTTGTTTTTTACTCTGTTGATGGTGATGTATTATATTTATTGATTTGTGTATGTTAAACCATCCCTGCATTCCTGGGATAAATTCCACTTGGTGGTGATGCATAATTGGATTTCAAACATTGAATTAAATTAGTAGTTCTTATCTTTCTCATCTTTTGCACTAATATTTACTCATTACATTTTAATGATTCATATGTTTACAATTATTACAAAACTAATATATTGTATTGACCAGGGATATATCTCAGTAGCACAGTGCCTGCCTGGAAAGTGCAAGGTAGTAAATTCAATCCCCAGTGCAAAACAATAATAATAATAATAATAATAATAATAATAATAATATGTCATGATACAAAAGTGTGAGTTTCTTCTCTCCACTCCTATTGTGACCCCAGAGAACCCCAAGAGCACATTTTCTGGTGCAGTTTTGGTGTTGCCTACATTTCAGGGCATTTGCAATGATTGTGTTAGAGAAAATAATGGTTTAGATTTAAACGT